GTACTTCAGAAAAACCAGGACATGCAGAAGCAATGGAATTCAAAGTAGTGGTCACTATCTCTAGGCCTTTAATGGTCTTAAGAACGTCTGCTTAGGCTAATTTTTCTAAGACAAGAAAGTAAAAATAAATAATACGTCTCTAAAAGAGGTGAATGACTGAGGAAAAAAGACAAATGGGATGGGTTTTTTTAAATAATGGAGGTACTTTTTGCATGTCTCTTTGTGTGTGGTTGCCCAGAGGATTCACTCATTTATTTTGTGAATCTAGGAATTTAATTCTCTGCACAGGGAATGGCTCCTTTCAGTTTTTGTCTGTTTTTCTCTAGGACATTGGAAGCGTCTTGAAGAAGTAAGTGAATCCACCCTCTTTCTGCTTTATGACCCCAGAGATCGGCAGCTCCTCCTGTTATGTCCCATTTTGGAAAGCTCTGTTTGTCTTTAGTAGTAGTTCATCTTCAATATAACTTATTTCAGGACTTTGTAGATATTTCCTCAGACAACCTCAACACAATATAACTAGCAATATTTTATATGATTAATTATTATTAATTATAAGAAACAACATTTGATATTAAAATATTATATTGGTCCCCAGGATTTCTTACTAATTTCTTTATCAAAATCATTTTCATTTTTCTATCTATCACATTTTCAGTGACAAAACATTTTCTATAAGGAAGTATTTTGCACTTCCTTTTATTTTAGAAATCATATTTTTAATGCTTTCTGTACTTCAGTTGTCCAGCATTGAACGGTGTGCATCTCCTTAGAATCCTGAAGTTGGAAAGGGCCATGGAGGCCATGAGATCCAATCCTTGATCTTTTGCAGGAGTCCAAAGTAAACCTTCCACAGCAGGGGGCTGTCCCGCCTCTGCCTGAACCCATCTTACAAAGGGGATCCCACCTCTCTGGGTATCTCAGCAGATCAACCATGATCTGTCTCAGTGCAACACTGAGCACTGGGGAGAGGTTTATCTGGGTGGACTGACCGCTTTGCTTTGCAGACAGGAGCTTCTCCATTTGCAACAGAAGTGAAGCAAAGCAGCAAGATCCTCCATGGATTAAGAGCTGGGTCCTGCTTCGCAACATCATACTGTGGAGACAGTTT